GTTGGGCGTCCAGACTTTCCGAGGACATCTGATGTATTCTCACTTGTGGTCTGAAATAAGTCATTGACACGGCAATCATTTTTTTCTATCTTTCCTTGATGGGCCGGACTAAGTAGAGGTCCTCCAGTCCTCTCCATCCATGGACTGCTCCTCACCTGAGGCCTCCCAACAAGGTGGATGAGCCGCGTAGTGTAGCCATACAGTGATACAATCAGTTCATCATTAATGATGGTCAGAAGATGATCAGGCAACAGACAGGAAGACACAAAACGTGTTTTTTTTTTGCCATGATGATCCTTATTTTTAGTCATGTGACTGTTGCCTGCAGCTATCGGTTGGCTGTCATTGAAAATATAAGCGTCATTATGACAAATAACAATTGTTACAGCTCGGTAAACTGATGTGTATGTCTTCCCAGGATTGCGTTCTCCTGAAGCAACTGAGATTTGTTTTTTCCTATAGAAATGTTTTTGATTGAACCATTGGAAAGATATATTTAAAGCCCAACTCTGGCCTCAAGGCCCCCAGCAGTTTTATTCCCTTTCTAATTACCTACTTTTTCCAGATGTTTTTAGGCCTATTAGGTTCATTTGGATTTGTGTATGTGGTGGACTTTGACGTCTAGGCGAAATCTACATTCTTTGGTCACAGCTGTGTAAGCAAATACAAAAAAAGTGGCGGCTTCCCCGCTGTACATTTGGCTCTGCTTGCCCAAAGCTGGGCTGAATGTGGAAAACAACTACCTGCCTGGTGCCCAGAACTGCATGTCCCGGGTACCAGGAGATAGGAATTCCACACCACTTCTGCCCCTCTACTCCCTGCTGCCCCAAGGCTGGACCTTGGTTGGCCTTGTGGGAAATCCGGCCCTGACTAGAGCAGCGGGGGAGCAAAGGGTAAATGAGTATTTGGATTTGGAGAGGCTGACATTTGAATAATTACTTTGCATGGTCAGTGCCCAGGTTCACTTTAAGGCAGGGCAGATGTGCGGCTTCGGCATGTAAGTTGGAATGAGATAATACTCATCTGACAGGTTTATTGGGTTAATGTTTAATGTTATTGGTTAAGCTATTCTTAAACCGCTATGGAACCATGGACCTGTTCACCCCCCCCCATGCCCGCCACCATGGCTTGAAGATTATCTTGCTAGCAATACCCTCGTGGGAGCTGCTGGAAATGTTGGGCTCCAGTTAAGTGTTCTGCTTTTCACATCACCCAAAAGCGGTAATTGAGTCCATCACCTTGGCTTGACTTGTATCAGGCACAGTCATCACTCTTCGAAGAGGGCTTGGAAAATCCCGGAGGAGACCCCACATGTAACAACACCTGCCAAGAGGTGCGGGGCTCTCCGACCGTTCCAGTGATGACCCGCTGTGTAACTGTACCCAACATTACACTGACACAACAATAGCAACATTGGGGGGAGGAGGAAGCTGTGGCGTGGCCGAGATGCGTAAGCTGAGTGGTTCCCAAGCCTTAAAGGGGCCACCCACGCCAGGGCTACAATAAGATGAATAAATATCCATCTAGGATGTAGGAACCACTATGGGCACAACAGGATTATAGACCCAGAAAGTTAGCACAGGGATGGCAGGGACTCCTCAGAATGGGCACAGCAGGTGTACAGACCCAGGAACTTAGCATAGGGATGGCAGGAACTCCTCATAATGGGCACAGCAGGTGATCAGTCCCAGGAACTCAGCACAGGGATGGTGAGAGCTCTTCATAATGGGCACAACAGGTGTACTGACCTTGGAACTCAGCACAGGGATGGTAGGAACTCCTCATAATGGGCACAACTGGAGTATAGACCCAGAAAGTTAGCACAGGGATGGCAGGGACTCCTTATAATGGGCACAGCAAGTGAACAGTCCCAGGAACTCAGCACAGGATGGTGGGAACCCCTCATAATGGGCACAGCAGGTGTACAGACCCCAGAACTCAGCACAGGGATGGTGAGAGCCCCTCATAATGGGCACAGCAGGTGTACAGACCCGGGAACTCAGCACAGGAATGGTAGGAACTCCTCATAATGGGCGCAAAAGGAGTGCAGACTTGGGAATCCATTTTGCTCTAGTAACAGGTATTTTCGCTACATACAAAAATATAAAACAAGAGCTATCTGCTAAAAAAAGAGAGACTAATACTTACCTGCCCCCCTACCCTTGTCCCGGATCATAACACTCTTGAAGAGCTATCTTCAGCATCCCCAGCTCCTGCATTATGGCTCCTTCCACCCCTCACTATGCCACCACTTTGTCCTCTGGCAGTGGCAGAACAGATATTTTTGTTCTTCTCATCACTTCTGGGTGCAGTGACCCCTGAACAGTGAACATGAACATGTACAAAGGGGTCGCTCATGAATGCAAATATGAAAGGTCAGAGGTGTCAGGATGTGACTGGGGGTGACAGAGTCATATTTTGTAAAGCGATGAGCCGAGTGGAAGCTGGTACCAGTGGTGACATAAGGGGCAGGGAGAGTAAGATAAAGTCCATTCTAAGAACTGTTCCCCTTCTCCGGGAATAAGCAGAAGGGCTATAATTATTCACCAGACCGGATGCACATGATACGCACTGTCATATTTATATCTCCAGCAAGCTTTCACTGGCACAACACTGGCCTCTAATTAGCACCAACATAGAAATTGCTGACCGCTAATCTGCTGGGAAAGAAATCTGCTGACTGGTGATGAGTGAGCCAATTCCACAGCCCACAGAGTTCAGAAAGCGGGTGAGCGGACACATGCTACACTATAAGTAGTGACTTCTACGTATTCCCCTTTGTTTCTGCTCATGAGCAATAGTAACTCATACATCAGGCCAGGGAAAAGATGGTGAGCAGTGAGGTGGGGGCACCAGGGCAGGAAAAAGATGGTGAGCAGTGAGGTGGGGGCACCAGGGCAGGAAAAAGATGGTGAGCAGTGAGGTGGGGGCATCAGAGCAGGGAAAAGATGAGGAGCATTGAGGTGGGGTACTAGGGCAGGGAAAAGATGGGGAGCAGTGAGGTGGGGGCATCAGAGCAGGAAAAGGGTGGGGAGAGTTAGGTGGGTGCATCAGAGCAGGAAAAAGATGGGGAGCAGTGAAGCGGGGGCACCAGTACAGGAAAAAGAAGGGGAGCAGTGAGGTGGGGGCACCAGAGCAGGGAAAAGATGAGGAGCATTGAGGTGGGGCACCAGGGCAGGGAAAAGATGGGGAGCAGTGAGGTGGGGGCATCAGAGCAGGAAAAAGGTGGGGAGAGTGAGGCGGGGGCATCAGAGCAGGAAAAAGATGGGGAGCAGTGAAGCGGGGGCACCAGGACAGGAAAAAGAAGGGGAGCAGTGAGCTGGGGGCATCAGGGCAGGAAAAAGATGGGGAGCAGTGAGGTGGGGGCACCAGGGCAGGAAAAAGGTGGGAGCAGTGAGGTTGGGGCACCAGGGCAGGAAAAAGATGGGGAGCAGTGAGGTGGGGGCACCAGAGCAGGGAAAAGATGAGGAGCATTGAGGTGGGGCACCAGGGCAGGGAAAAGATGGGGAACAGTGAGTTGGGGGCATCAGGGCAGGAAAAAGATGGGGAGCAGTGAGGTGGGGGCACCAGAGCAGGGAAAAGATGAGGAGCATTGAGGTGGGGCACCAGGGCAGGGAAAAGATGGGGAACAGTGAGTTGGGGGCATCAGGGCAGGAAAAAGATGAGGAGTATTGAGGTGGGGGCACCAGGGCAGGAAAATGATGGGCAGCAGTGAGGTGGGGGCACCAGGACAAGAAAAAAGGTGGGGAGCAGTAAGGTGGGGGGCCATGATCCAGTATTTGCACTGGAGGGAAGATGACAATGTTATTTTACTACTACCTCACAGGGTGACTGGGAATGTGCTCCCTGGAACCTGCACTGTGTAACTTCCTCACTCTCTCTTCTTATTTTATTGTTCTGTCATAAATGCAGTCACATGCAAAAGTTATACCTCCTGAGACCCAGTCTGCACGGAAACTTGCTGACTTGACAAGATCCACAGGCAGTTTAACTCACCAAGAAGACTCGGAATTACAATCCAGTGTGATTTGTTGTATATACACAGGATAGTTTTGTTTTTGTTTTTATGTAAGGTAAAAATACATTTCTTTCCAACACTGAAACAGTAGCAGGATGGGACATGCCAACTAGGAGATGCGGTAACTAATATCTCAGCAAAGGAATCTAAAAATCTGTGTGTGAAAATACAATCACCAGCAAGCAGGATGCAAATGTAAAAATAGAGCAAAGAATGAGTTTGTGCTAAACCTTGAAATAACCAAACCATAGTATGGTCTAAATCCTTGGTTCTCAACTGGTGGGTCCTGACCCAAAAGTGGGTCGCGACCCCTTATCCAGTGGGTCACCACATGCCATCCACTTTTCCAGATGAGGTTCCCCAGCCTCCCCCCTAGAGCAGCCCTGTCAGTTCTCGGGCCAAGCAGCCATTCAAAATATGCTGCCAAGTGTCAGCTAGAGGTGGGGTGGGATGGGGCCACGGCCGCGAGGGAGCTTCATCCATATGCGCATTGCTTGCAGCTCCCTCACGTGCCTTGCAGAGGTGCCTGGACCGGAGTGATGTCATATTCTGGCTCCTGGCACCTCTACAGGGCCAGCAAGGGAGCTGTGCAAGCAATGCACATATGAATGGAGCTCCAGCACGGCAGCCCACACTGGACCCCAGGCTGAGGATTCACTCCAGTTCTCATAAAATAGGGAGACTGGTGGATCTGTACCTCAATGCCGTGCGTTCCATTGCAGTGCGACTTGGGTCACGACTTAATGACCGAGGACAAATGTGGGTCCTGAGGTTACACAGGTTGAGAACCACTGGTCTAAAATACACCATATTTCCTACTGCGAAGACCTGCATCAATGAAGCTTTACATGCATTTCTTTGTATCATTCGAGCGCCTGAGCATTGTACGTCCCCATTGTGCCTGGGGATTAAATACTTTTTATTTGGAGTGATAAAGAGTTCTCAGTGTCAAAGAGTTTCTTGTTAAGGGTGACTGTGGTGAATTGGCTCTGTGTTCCGGCATTCATTTGTTTCAGGTACTTCAGGAGTGGAAATAATAAGCCCCATTTACAGGGACAATGTGTGTCTTATTGGTGTCCCTCAGTCCCCAACCTCCACCAGTTACATGAGACCGTAAATACAAAAGAAGACTGTAAGAGAGACAAGGATGGGGCACCAGGCCACTTGGCAAAGACTAAATACTGTTTATTGATAGCAGTGGATGAAGAGAATAAACAGGACACTCATCTCACCCCATTTACAGTAAACTTGCCACGTGCGTGGAAGTCCAAAGTGAACTCCTAGTTAGAAGAATATTGCCAGGAAAAAGATGTGATGACATAAATCTTGACTTTGGCTGCACCCCATCCCATGCTATATGGTTCCTTATTGGTTCTTCAATATGGATAACAGCCTCACTGACTAATACAGAGTCCTGGGGGTTGGGCCAAGCTTGACATTTATGGGAAAAGCCAAGGTGTATATATAAATTTGGAAGCCTATATCTCAGGATCTGTGGATGACTTTGGTTACACCCCCACCCATCCTATACAGTTCCTTATTGGTTCTTTAATGTGAATGACAGCCTCAATGACCAATACAGAGTGCTGGGGGTTGGGCCAAGCTTGACATTTATGGGAAAAGCCAAGGTGTATATATTGATTTGGATGCCTTTATCTCAGGATCTGTGGATGACTTTAGTTGCACCCCCTCCCATCCTTTATGGTTCCTTATTGGTTCTTTAATATGAATGACAGCTTCACGGACCAATACAGAGTCCTGGGGGTTGGGCCAAGCTCGACATTTATGGGAAAAGCCAAGGTGTATATGAAGGTTTGGATGCCTATATCTCAGGATCTGTGCATGACTTTGGTTGCACCCCTCCCATCCTATACAGTTCCTTATTGGTTCTTTAATATGAATGACAGCCTCAATGACCAATACAGAGTGCTGGGGGTTGGGCCAAGCTTGACATTTATGGGAAAAGCCAAGGTGTATATGTAAATTTGGATGCCTATATCTCAGGATCTGTGCATGACTTTGGTTGCACCCCTCCCATCCTATACGGTTCCTTATTGGTTCTTTAATATGAATGACAGCCTCACTGACCAGTATAGAGTCCTAGGGGTTGGGCCAAGCTTGACATTTATGGGAAAAGCCAAAGTGTATATATTGATTTGGAAGCCTATATCTCAGGATCTGTGGATTACTTTGGTTACACCCCCACCCATCCTATACGGTTCCTTATTGGTTTTTTAATATGAATGACAGCCTCACTGACCAGTATAGAGTCCTGGGGGTTGGGCCAAGCTTGACATTTATGGGAAAAGCCAAGGTGTATATATAAATATGGATGCCTATATCTCAGGATCTGTGCATGACTTTGACCGCTTCCTTCACTAGGTACTCATCAGGTTTGCTTCAAAGTCAATGTAAACCCAATCAGTTAGTTTCTTGCGAGCTGAGTAAGTGGATCTCCAGCTGTCCTCTGAGTCGGGTCTTCCAGGAAAAGCCATAAGCAAAATCTAGATGATGACATTCCAAAGTCCTGACAGATTAGTTTGATGGACTGGATACGTGTGGGATGCTTGTGACGGTCTGAAAGTCATTATCGCGACATTACAATGATATAGCGAGTGCAGTGTGAAGGACATGGGACATGGCCTCCAAATATTGGGTGAAGGTTCACATCTTCTGGCATTAGCATCCATTGCAGCTTTTGGATTGGAATTCCCATAGCTGCCAAGGAAATTGGTGGTGAAAATCCTCCCCCTGGCAGGTCTGAATGAGCAGCATATTACACCCAGGTCAGATCAATGTCTGAATGGGGTAGTATCTTCACTCAGAGCCACCAGCCCAACCTATCTTGTTAGGACTGGTCCAAGGGGCACATGCCAGCCCAGCTCAATGCTCTGATGGCATCTTACCTCTATGATCAGTGAACGGTTGTCAGATCAGAAATGGCCATTCATCTCTAATTTGAGAATAAGGAAATGTGGAGGGAGATGTCTCCATTCTCCTAATATTTAAGGTACAGAGTATTTAAAGCAGTGGAAAGCCCCAGACATTTGGCAATGTTGCCTGTTTATAGGAAGGAAGGAAAGGGCTGACAATAAATCCACCATGGTGGAGATGTACGCAGCACGCACTGTTTAAACTGGTCAGTAAACATAATACCTACAGTATGTGCTATTAAAAGGACGATGTTATAAAATGGAATGTGAAATTCCTACAGCCAAAGGGACGAAGCCTGTCAGACTCTGCATGGGAGGAGTGCTCAGTATTTGCACCAGGTTCATAGAGAACACACTACAGGTTCACAGGGGAGGCCAAAATACTAGAGAACCCATCGGGAAAATAAAGGGAAGCAGTTGTTGGGGGTCTGACTGGTCTAAAATAGTGAAGCCCAGGGTTAACCTTTCATTGTCAGATCCACTAAAGAGGGACCAAATGCAAGTGGTGTTCAAAGGTCACAGCAGAGGTGAAGAGAGGTTTGAGGAGTAGGGCAATGTAGAATTTGGCAAGGGTTTTGAGGGCAATGGAGGCCCTAGGCAGGCAGCAGTTTGGGCTCCTTGACTCATTGAAGAAGGCAAGCAAAGGTCTGAAGACAATGAAGGAGTATGTACGCTGGTTGTAAGTGAGGTCAATGTGACATCTTTGTTTCTGTAGCCAATGGTGGTCAGTTTTTAGGAACTATTGCCAGCCATCTCTCCCAACAGATGGACATTGGTCGAGGGTCACCTGGCAAACTTGTGTGCACAGAAGAAGGAGCATGTACATTGGTTATAAATAAGTGAGGTCAATCTGACATCTTTGTTTCTGTAGCCAATGGTGGTCAGTTTTTGGGAATCGTATGCCAGCCATTTCTCTAAGCAAATGGACATTGGCCAAGGGGCCATCCTGCCGAACTGTTATGCACAGACATACTAAAGGGTACTAAACAAGCGCTACTACATTTGACCTAGTTTGCTCAATCATATGCATTTGTTTCTACACACATATCGTGTGGTAATCACACTTGTGTCCTATATTTCCTTACACAATATTACGCTGCAATGACTAAATCCGGGAGATCAGGCGTTGTTAAAGTGAAAGAGACTAGATAATGGAGCAGGTACGCTGTACAGTTGCCTATGGATCCCCACCAATGGGACCTACCACCAGGGTTCCCTTGAGTTTCCTAAGGACAGATGCACTTTGTGCTACTCCCACATGCTAAGACCTGACAATTGGCTGCTTAGGTCAGTGCTGAACTGTGTTGGGGAGGTGAGGGAGTCAGCTGGGTGTCATCCATCTGGGAAAATGACCGGCACGGGATACAGTCAGGGGGTGACCAGGCACGTACAGCAGAGTACAGCAGGTGCAAAAAGAGGTCACGCTAAAAATAAACAGCATCATATGATATCATGATCTGTTATGTTTCTGCAGTCTGGTCTTCTTCTAAATGGAACTGGAACTGCCGTTTCAATCTAAATCCTTCACTGAAGGCTTTATAGGAAAACAGTAGCTACAGCACGTACAAAAACCATTCCTCCACCAGGTTGTTGGAAGATTCCAGCTACAGACCATGTGACTTAGTGTTCCCTAACACCCATGTGCTGCCTAAGGGAGGGTTTGGATCTGTGTCGATGGGCATGGGCATGGCCAGGGCTGGAATTCCCACAGGGCCAACCGAGGCCCGCCCTTGGTGCAGCAGGGAGTAGAGGGGCAGCAGGGGTGTGGAGTTCCTATCTCTGGGCGTCGGGCGGGTAGTTGTTTTCTACATTTAGCCCTGCTTTGGGCAAGAAGGGCTATATGTACAGCGGGTAAGCCGCCGCTTGTTTTGAACAAGTGACCTCGGGGGATGTCGCCGAGATCACTTGTGTGAAGCCTGCATACAAGGGGGGGGGGCGCATTGAGGAACCTGACATTGGGGCAGCAGAGAGAGTAATTCCGGCCCTGGCTATGGCATTGCAAAACCCACTTGAAGCAGGTCAAATGCAGATCGGAAGGAGGTCAACTGCACCTGTCAATGAACTCTGAACAATCTCAGAAGCATTTTAAATTGGCGTCCTCAAGACAAGCCCAAAGCTCCTCAAAACAGGTCCTTTAGCATATTTCTATTGAGCAGATATGTTGTGTGTCCAGCATAGTGCAGGAGCGGGGTCAAGGGGCAACCAGCAGAAGTTATCTCCTTGGATGCTTCAGCAGGAAGAGGGGGCACATAAAGGGCACGACCTGCAAACTATGCTCCTGACATTGTTCATAGATCATAGGGGTGGGGCACACTTTGGCCTTTTCGTCTCGGGTGCTGAAGAACTCCCGCCACTGTTTGGGATCCTCAGTATTCCCGCAATCTCCTCACCTCTGCAGCTTTATCCGGATTGTGGTTTAGTCCTTTCAGTCTGTTCCCCGCGTCTGTGGTTGTAGTATGTAGGAGTGTACACTGACCTGAACCTGTGCTCGCGTCGGTCGCCCAATTACAGACAGGAGAAATCCCCACACACGACTGTAGGTTTGACATGAACATCTCTTCACCTTATTGCACGTTCATTAAAGTGCATATGCAGGCATTCCTGAAATGTACCTCCAAAACTCCCTCTCGCCCTCTAGATCCTGTCTCAGGATTTTTCTTTACATTGCTATGTAGTAAGAAACAGCTTTCTTTACTGACTAAAATGGGCAGATGCTGGGAGGTCGGCTCCCAGTGATGTAGGCACACCCCCAGAACTATATCTCCCTACATGCAGTGTGTGGGTAGCGTCCTGGGAGCCATGGCAGCAGCATTGCTTTGCTGGGAAAGAAATTCACGTATGCATGTGTAGAGGGAAAGGCAAAGTTGAGGGATAAGGCGCAGTTTCTGTAGCCAACAAGCAGGACTGACAACACTGCTTGGGATTACAGTGCCTGGGACATGCAGTTCCGGGCGGGTAGTTGTTTTCTACATTTAGCCCTGCTTTGGGCAAGCTGAGCTAAATGTACAGCGGGGAAGCCGCCGCTTGTTTTGTACAAGTGATCCCGGCGATGTCGCAGGTCTGCCATTGCCATTCTACATATGGAAGGGAGGGAGGGGGGATGTTTGGCGGGTAGGGGGGCACATTGAGGAACCTGGCCTTGGGGCAGCAGAGAGAGTAAATCCGGCCCTGCTCCCTTGATTGCCGGTTGCTGGATTTTCTTACTGTAATACAACTTTGCTCTGCCAGACTTTGGCGTTTCCTTGGCAAGTGAAGAGAGGAATGTTCTGTAGCCCCCGAGACTCACGCCCAGTGCCTCCTAGCTGTAATGAGTTATATATCCGTCTTGGATCATGAATGACGCCATTCAGCTCACTGTGATGGACCATTCAGGTGTTTCAAAGCTTTCAGAGGAAGTCAAAAAGGGTTTCGGAAACCTGTTAGGAAATGCCTGTGGCTACACACTGAAATTATTTAGACAAGTGACCCGAAATACTAACAGGTTCCCAGAGCTTGTTCCAGGATAATGAAATCAAAGTATTGCTTCCACAGATAAAATGCTTGTGATTCATGCATCAAGCAGCTATCTCCGTCATGCTGCTCCTGGCCATTAGCACCTAAGAGGATGTTGGATGTTATCTCTGGCTGGGGAGCTGAGAACACTTTACAGGCCGCACTCCTGTCCCAGCCTCCAGCTCGCACCACCACTGTCAGTACGCTCTGGCCATTGCTGGACATGTGACTTGCACCCATCTTAAGGATGCGTTTTTGGGACCTTTCCCTTCATCAGCCTGAGCAAGACCTCTCCTGGGACCTTCACCTTCATTAGCCAGAGCAATACCATTCAGGGACCTTCCTATTCATCAGCCTCAGCAAAGCATTTGGGGGCCTCCCCTTTCAATATATTGAGCAAGACCTTTGGGGACCTTCCGATTCATCAGCTTGAGCAAGACCTTTTGGGGTCCCTTCATGAGCCTGAGCAGGACCTCCCTTCATGAGCCTGAGCAGGACCTTTGAGGGACCTTCCCCTTCATCAGCCTGGACAGGACCTCTCCCTTCATCTGCATGAGCAATACCATTCAGGGACCTTCCCATTCATCAGCCTCAGCAAAGCGTTTGTGGACCTCCCCATTCATCAGCCTGAGCAAGACCCTTGGGGGCCTTCCCTTTCATTATATTTAGCAAGACCTTTCAGGGACCTTCCCATTCATCAGCCTGGACAGGACCTCCCCCATTCATCAGCCTGAGTAGCTCTCCCTTCATCAGCATGAGCAATACCATTCAGGAACCTTCCCATTCATCAGCCTCAGCAAAGCGTTTGTGGACCTCCCCATTCATCAGCCTGAACAAGACCTTTGGGGGCCTTCCCTTTCATTATATTGAGCAAGACCTATTTTTCTCCATAGGCAGGCAGG